ATAACATTAAATTAGGAACATAATTTCTTTAAAAACATGTATAAGTGTATTTTACACTAATAACACTCACTATTTTAGAGATTTACATGATTATTATTAACTTTTTGATATTTATTTAAACACAGTCAACTACTATTATAATCACAATGTAAGAATATTTTGCAGATTAAAATAACTGATTTGTAAACATACAATTTATTTCCTTGGTTTTTTTGAAAGATACTAGAATAATAAACTGTACATAAAAAGATACAAAACATTTGTGCTTTTTTTAAAATCTGAAATCTTTTCAGCTATTTTAACATCTAATTTATTTATGTCTATTTCCTTTTCTTTAACCATTCTTCTAAGTTCATTTGCTTTGATAAACAAATCAATGTTCATGCTGGTCTCAGCTTCATCTGCTAAAGCATCTACTTCTTCATTAATATCTTTAATGTCCCTTTGAAGAAATTTTTTCTTCTGCTTCATATAATCAATTTCTTCCTCAATGCTATTTCTTCTCCTCTTTGAATTTTCAGATTTAGTTAAAGATTTTTGTTCTTCTAAATACTGCATATATTTAGATCTTGCAGAAGCTGCTGTTAATCTCATTTTGTTATTAATTTCGATATTAAGAACAACTCCAGAAAATTTTATGTAATCAAATACTGTGCGTTGAAAAATGTATGATGAGTCACTTAAATTTTCAATTTCAATTGCTTTATTTACAGAGAAGCCCCTTTCCACAGAGGCCTGTCCATGTGACAAGATAAGAATCATTTTCACTATTTTCCATATTTTTGAATAATGAAAATCATGAAAATAAGAAGTGAGAAATGTGCCAAGAGAAAGATTTTGAGGATCAAAAGTAGAAAATTCATGTAAATTTGTCTTAACTACTTTGTCTAGAAACTCTCCAAACTGCAGCAGAATTTCATCCCAATCATCTTGTAAAACACATTTATTCTGCATTAATACCGTTAGAACTATTTTCATTTTGTTCTGGGCTTTTTCTGGACTTTTAACCATCAGTCGCGGGTCTATACAAGATGCATTTCGAATAAGAGAATAATTTATTGGACATTTAGACATTAAGTGTTGTACTATTGTTAAGACACATTGTTGACCTTGTTTCAATGCAAAACTTTCAGCTTGTGAAATGTCCTTCTTGCGGCATTTATCATTCATTAACTGCTCAGCAATGAATCCCAAATAAACTTTACTTTTTCATTATAAACAGTTTGGATCATTAAAATTAAATTATAAAGATTTTCTGCTTTAGTTAGTTATTTTTGAATATTCTAGTTTCAAAATTTAAAGTGCTGAAGGCAATCATTTACAAGTTTTAAGATATCTTCAGCAAAAAAGGGAATAAGTGGTTTATCACTTTGATATATTCAAGGAAAGGCAATAATATTTCGACAAAGAGATAAAAATTTAATTTTATAAGAATGTGTTATCTTTAGTTGCCTCCAAAATATTTGAGAAGGTTTTCGATGAATTTTTTTTAAACTTCCCCATTTCAACTTCTTTAATGTACAGTAGCAAGTCATCCCATATTTCAATGGTTCTTTCAACTGCTGGGACATTTTGCAACCATCAGTAAAAGCAGAACTTCACAGGTAGCTTTTTTAAGCCAGATATACTTAAAAAATCTTCACGTCTTGCAGGAGAATCTTTAAAATTCCAATATAAGGAGGATAAGAATGATGGAATGTCCCAGCCAGTGGATGACATCCTATGCTTGAAGCATTGTTAAATTGTAAACCACATGTCCCTAATGTCAAGCATTGAATGTTATATTCCTTTGTTCAAGTCCTGTTCCAATAAATCATAAAATTTCCAGTTTACTCCAGGACCATCCATGATATTTGTAAGAGTTTTGACAAGTCTAGTTTTTCAACACATTCATAAAATTTGGATAAAATAATTTCACTTTTTGCATGCCCTATAAATGCAGAAAAGCCCACCATATTTCTGCATCTGGTAACTTCAGATTTGAAAAGAAAAGAATTTATTTTATTATTTTCTACACTTATTGATGTTGAATTAGCAGTTACATCTTTTCCTGAAGTAGATGGTTCTTCTAACTTGACAAAATTCATGATACTGTTAGAAGAAACTCTGCAGTTGAGATGGAAAAGATGTTCTGCAGCTAAAAGGGGCATTACATGCAAGGCATTAGTAAAATTAAGTATCGCATATATATGTATATAATGTATCGATATATATATATATATATATATAAAATAAGAAATGTATACTGAAAATATACATTTTTTACTATATATACACAGTACAAATTCCGAGATCCGGACATCCAATATCTGGAATGATCTAACATCCGGACCTCAAAGCCACCACCAACCAATTTTTTTAGGGCTTTTTGGAGGGAAGGGGTATGCTTTATGCATGCGCATTAGATTTTTTCCTCATCATAAAAAACATGCCAGAAATCCTGATTCTTAATCTCAGTTTGGTGCTAAATAAAATATCTCATTATTGAAGAAATAATTATTTTAGCATAAATTTGTGTGATTAGTAACTTGACTCCATAGCTGCGTATTTGCTTGGCATAATCTCAAACCGAAACATTTGTTAATTTTACACCAACTAATATTTTATATCCTTGATGCCGAAATCAGGAATCATTATTTATTGTATTTTGCTTTCATCACCGCATGTTTATCAACGAATGACAACTTGAGTGATGAATCATGCAGCGATGCCAAATAACAGAGTATTATCGATTACAGATTTAAATTTAATGCGCTAAAATGTTGACAAGGGGAGATTTAGCAGAAATTTCTTTCCTTATGCTAAAAATAGATTTTGTTAATGATACTCATAGGACAAACGATTATATTTAGTGCTATTTGAATTAAGAATAACTGATTTGTTATTCACATAAAGCCAGAACCAGCGCCCAGAGCTCGCATGGCCGCACCAGGCGGCAGAATTTAGGGAAGTTAAACAGAAGTTTTTCATTGCGATGACAATGCCCAATCATCAATCAATTAACGGAGGGCGAAATCTGTAGTATGGTTCTAATCCAAAAATCCAGAAAATACAGCTACCGATAGTGAAGAAAGTAACAGAGAGGTTACTGAACGAGAAAAAAATTTTGATTGACAAGTTATTCGGAATTCTCGACACAGCAATTACAGGACTTGAACAATGGAACTTAATAACTCAACAAGAAATTATATGTCTATAGTATTAGTCTAAAGTATTAGCAGAGAAAACAAATCAAACAACTCACATTGAAAGAAATGTTTAATTAAAGTAAACATATAAATATTAAGCTCTTTTCTTTGGTAAATTTTGATACCCTTTAAATCATAAATGCTTCATTATTTCATAAATCACGATTTCATATTTTCAATTTTATAATTTCTACGTGCCATCTTAGTAGATTTAAAATGATCTAATATCCGGAAAAATCTCAAATCTGGGATCGCCGAAGTCCCGACCTCGGACTTTGTACACTGTATAAATATATATATATATATATATATACGGAATGTATATTTTCAGTTAAACTTCTACCCATAACTTTTTTAGTAATTCATGAAAGTTAATTTTGCGTCTAGTTAATTCATTAAATTAGTTTTTAATGGAAAATTAGTTTCAATTAGTTGTTTTCAGCTTTAAAAATATTAAAAAATTTTAATTAGTTAGTTTTCAACTAATAATTGTATCGCCATTAGCAAAAATAATGCATTACTATCAACAACAGCTTTTTTTTGGGGGGGAGGGGGGTTGGATCGCTAAAACTTGGTGAATGTTATCTCTTAAAATGCAATATTAAAATTTAATAACATTCTTCTGAAAGCAGCATTCCTTTTATAAAATACTTAATTGTCTATTGAAGCTTCAAAACGTATTTCCGAACTTCACTTTTTCTCTCGGCTAGCGTTACCGAATTTGCCCTTGGCGACCTAAAATCGAAATGGAGCCAACAGATTTCCCCGAAATCGATAACAGACCCTCTGCAGAAATAAACTCATAATCCCGATATCCCATACATATAGTATGTGCAAAAGAGAATAAACTCCGTAGAAGGTGATAAAAAATTAATTTATGGCTTAATTGAAACAAACACAGAAATTAAGCTAAGCAAAACCGTGTAAAAACAAATTGAAATGATAAAACGAAACTTAATTTTCATGTGAATTTTCAGCGCTGACTCTCCCATTCTAGAAATTTCAATTTGTTTCAGACAAAGACCACATTTAGCTTTATAAGGATTGTCATCCATCAATATCCAGTCTTTGTAGTCAGCTTGATGAAGCCACAGTTTATTGAAAATGCACTTTCCAGGCATCTCGTTCCTATTGGCGTCGGAAGGGTTGTGGCCCTTCAGGTTGGGATTGCTTCTAATTTTGGCAAATATTTTCAGAATCCCCCCCCCCCCCTTTTTTTTTTCTCGAGCACCTTCATCATCACTTTTCGCCTCTTAAAGAACTTCCAGCTTCACGCTTTCGTCACAATCTGCCTAAATTTATGGATAACACCTGTTTCGAAAGATTTGGGTGAATAGCCAATCAGACACCCGATACTTTCGTTCTAGGCTAGGTAATTAATTTTTTTTTTTTAATCGTTTGCAACGCAAATCCGCCAACAGATTGGTTAAGAGCGTGTAATTTTAATTTCCATATTCATGAGAAATCGCAATTCACACTTAGAATGGCAATCATTAGAAATGATAAGAATGTCAAATGAGCAAAATTAAGGACCGTTTATTCATTTTGGTCAAAATTAAGGACTTTTAAGGACCAAAAATTTTTTTAAAAATAGGACTTTTAGGACCATACACCCTTCAATAGCAGCAAATATAATATTGTAAAATAAAATTATATTACTAACTTAAATAATGTAATATCAACATATAAATTTTTCAATTTATATATTTACTTTAAATTATTTATATTAAACATAGGTAATTTTATATTTAGTCTGAGTATGTAAATTAAACCAAGTGTGATTAATGTAGAATATTTAAAATAAAATCTTACTTCTTTCTATAGCTTCAAATTCTTTTTCATCTCCATTAAATCGGACAAGTCTTGTGCAGGTTTCCATGTTACTTGTAATTATACAATATGTTTTTGTTTCTGGATGGTAATTGATGAAATGAGGAGTGCAACGCAGAGGTACCTTACGAACAGGCCATGGGGCATCGTAATTGAGGTGAGTCGGAAGAACACATATTCGAAGTTCCCCCTTGAAAAGACAATAATTAGAACAAACTAAATGTTTTATGTGTAAGACTATGTATAAGCATACAGTAGGCAATAGGCTACACTTAATGTGATCACGTTTGTCTACAGCTACTTTGATAACATTAAACAGAAAAAATATCCTTCAAAACAGAGATGGTATTCAACTAATTTAATATAAACAGAACTAAAAACACATAAAGAGGAACTTTCACAGCATTTTACTTTAAAAATATAAAAAAAATGTTGATGAATTAGTAAGGTAGATTTTAATTTTATAACAGTTATTTTAATTTCGAAGCCCTTTCCTACCAGTTCTTGTTTCCACTTATAACTCCCTATCAGAATGAGTTTTTAGAATCATGATGAATGCAAATGAGTTAGAAGAAGTATTTAAGGAAGGTTTAACTAACTTTGATAGAGAGTGCTAAGAGTCCTTAGTAGTTAACGTTTGCCTTCTGGCTAAGTCACTCTTGAAGTGTTACGCTTCAAGAGTGTATAAATTCAAGAGTATTATACGTGCTTTTTGATATTCGCTGGCTAGTTCAATTTAAAGGCCAATTATGTTAAATACTTGTGTTTAGCTTTGGCTAAATCTCTTTTTAGTTAATTATAGTTTAGTTTCTTATTTCTTATGCTGAGTTAAAGTCCAAGTCGAGGCTTCCTGTAAGCCCGAGAAGGAGCTGACTGTTATTCTTATTTTAGTGAATAAAAGAGTATTTAACACTTCTTGAGTCTACATCTTAGTTGTTCTGAACTCAGCAATAAGTCCCTACATAGTTCACTATGTTTCTCGACATTCATCTCAGACAAAAGGAGTTAACAAATTGTTCAAAATATTTCTGGAAATTATTTGACTGATGTTGTACCACTCATGGTAATACCTGAAGGGCATCTCTCATGTAACGAGAGCTTGCAAAAGAAAAATTTAAAATTAGGCAAACAGCATTTAGCTTGGATAGTTGGTTTTAGGAAAAGAAAATTCTACAGACTTTTTTTTTCTCCTGAAGAGGAGGGAAATGTTATTGATACCCTCAGAATTGACAGAATTACTAAAAATCTACATCAAAGTACAGTTGTGTTCTGTCTAATTTTAAATGGCTGACTAAAATCAAAACCAAGATGTTTGGTGGTTTAATCTCTAATTTGGTGATATTTCTCTGTAACTTGTCAATTTTTATAATGCATTTTAAATTTATTTGGTGGCTTTACTTAAGTTAAAAAAATTATTTTATACTATTCTGATCAAATTAACCAAACTGTTAATCACAATATATGATGTCACATTTATACAGTCAAAAGTCCTTGATCTGAACTCGTCGGGACTTCGGCGATTCCGGATTATCGATTTTTCCAGATTATAGATCATCAGTTTAAATCTGGTAAGAAGGCATGCAGAAATTCTAAAATTAAAAATATGAAACCGTAATTTATGAAATAAAGACATTATGATCTAAAGTGTATCAAAATTTACAAAAAAAAGCTTAATATTTATTTGTTTACTTATTAAACATTTCTTTCATGTAATTGTTTAAGTGCTTCAATTTTTGTGATAATACTTCTCTTTATTCTATACCGACATAATTTTTTCATTACAAAGTTCACTGTTCAAGTCCCGTAAGTGCTGTGCCGAGAATACCGACTAACTTGTCATCGAAATTTTTCGTTTCACTAACCTCTCTGTATCTTCAATGTCTTTATCCATTTTTTGCAGCAATTCCACTTTTTGTTTGATGAACATAGAAACATACTTTCGTTTTGTAAGATCTTTTGGAGCTCCAGCATCAATTCTATTTGACATAATCGAAAGGTCAAGTTTACTTTTATAAAATTGCTCTTACGTCTGCAAAAAATAATAAGCCATCCAATTCGAAGATTAGGAACAACGCAATCATCAACTTACTGAAATAGATAATTAGATAATTTTAGCTATACCGTCTGTTATAACATCAATGTGCCACGAAAACGTATTCTGCTGCTTGCGCACACCATATGCGCAGTCGTAAAATCTATGCGCACATATAACGCCATGCACATGTGTCAACGCGGCGCATGCGCAGAAAGTTTTTAGCTTTGAGGTCCGGATTATAGATCATTCCGAATTATGGGTGTCCGAATTAACGACTTTTGACTGTATTTCCATGTTCTTCATATACAAATGGATGGTGCTCCGGCAATTCGATAACAACATCTGAATGCTAACATTAACTGCAATCTCATTAAATGGCGTCTATTGAACATAAATTCCAGAATACAAAAGAACTCTGAAATGCATTCTTTCCAGAAAGTTTACTTTACAAACTCGCAAACTACTCCTCCAAACATAAAAAACATTTATTATTAAGAAGCATTAAGACAATTTTCCATAACTTCAGGGATTCCATAACTTTTTCTTGCATCAATCCCCTTTAAAGCAATAGTCTCTTTCATTGACCCTTCCCTTACACTTTTCTCTATAATATACAGTATACAAAAAAAAAAAAAAAATCATAATACAAATAATTAAACATAAATAACTTTTTTTTGTGTGTGTTTGATGTTTTACTTGTACTATTGCACTTATTGCATAAAAAATTATATACTTATAAAGTATTTTCTCCGTCCTTTCCACATGCCTTCATGGTGTAACTGGAAGCACACTCAATGAATGTGCATTCAAGAGGTTCTACATCTGGTGCCTGAATTAAAAGGTGGTGGCTGATAATTCATCACCACCATGACTTCATGATTTGGGTCTCCTAATCTCAACTCAGCCTTTAAAAGGACAGTATATAAGATATTTTCTCTCTCCTTTCCACATCCCTTCAGGGTGTAACTGGAAGCACGCACAATGCATATTCAAGAGGTCAGGAGTTCGAATCCCGAGGGTACTGCAAATTTTTTTCTCGTTCCAGCATCAATATAACCTAACGATTCTATATAATAATAATAATAATAAAATCAGTGATTTTAAAATAGGTTAAAAATTTTAGGGTATTTGTTCCTTTATGTTTATATGGCTTCTTTTTTACTATGTGACACAGCTTTATATCAATAAATAATTAATTATCACTTTTATTAATAATTCTTTTTTGTAATTAATGGGATCCTGAATCTGCTGATCAATTTCTGGTGCATGTTCAGCTACCAGTTCCCTGTTCCAATGTATTGATCATCACTGACCTCCCTTAAAACTTCATGGACTCCAAGCTGATCAATACCGACTCCAATAGGAAACACTATTTTAGATATTTCATTAAAGCAGAATGAAGATTAGAACAGATATCAATGCACTAAGAAAATATTAACCTTTTTGCGACGGCGCACATTTGTTTAAGATGCTTGTGAGGGACGGAAGGGAATCGAAGGCAGTCACCGTACAGGACGGAGGTTTTGCATCGCTAAGCCTAATTTTATAAAAAAAAATCAGGAAAAAAAAAAAAGTTTCACTTCCAGCATTGTAATTTTTGGTATCATTTTAGATTATTACTTGAGCTCTTATATATGTTAAAATTAGCAACTAATAACGTTTTTTCTTTGTTTTACATGAAAATATACTTTAAAAAAATTGCTTATCTTGTAAAATAATTTTCGGAAGCACTATTCAAATTATGCCAAAGTTTTAATTGATAAAATCCATCAATAAAGTTTAAAATTAATAAAACAACACAACAAAGACTATTTACAGTAAGAAGAAACAAAATTTAAAATGAAGACTGAGTGTGGTATCTCGAAGCACGGAGAAGTATCACTTCTAACTTTTAGAAAAAGTATCACTTTCTAACTCATTAGAAAATGAATCGTCACCCTCATGTGTGTTAATAAATGGTTCATTGACCATACAAGGGTATTCTTCCTCTAAAAAATGGCGCCTTCCCACCATAATAGACTGGAGGTGAGGATCTTTCTGAAATAAAAAGAGAAAAATAAAAAGAGAAGAAACGGAAATATATCTGAAGGCAATGCAAAACGTCACAGTACTCCACATAGCTAACCCTAAAAGACCGTGCATAGTAAAGGAAAAAATAGAATAAAAAAAAGGAATTGGATATAAATCAGACACGCGAATGTTTTCATTAGCACACAGGTATTTAAAGAGCTCACCTCTGTTTACGCTTTCCCCTCCCCCCCCCCTCGAAAGAGCTGATGAGTACAATACCAAAGTGAAGCAGAATATATCAAACTCAAGGTCAGGAACCTAAAACTGTGTTCATTTCAAAAGTAATGGACATAGGATGCCATCTAGTGGCCTTCAGAAAAACGTTCCAGCTTAAAACGCGTATACGCATCACCCGTCCTCTGAATGCGACCTCTAGCGATGCGTGGATGGGACGCCCGGCTGTGAGAGACGTTCTTAGGGAATGCGTATATGGGACACCCATCCTGAAAGGATTAATGTATGTATGTATACAATGACTTCAATGAAGGTACAAGTTTTATAAGGTATAATGTGCACATATACAAGAAGATCCACAGTTTTTGGCCTCATACAAAGAAACTGAGAAAATCTCAATAGTTTATATTTTCAATATTTCAGTTTCTTTTTGTCTTGGTACATTTTTCATTAATGAACAACTCTAGGCTGCTTTTTGTCTCAAAATGTTTCATAGCCGTTCTTTATCCGGCATCATCATCATCACTGAATCTCTTTTCATGAAGGTCAGATTTTACACTGAAGAGTAGATAATAATTACTTGGAGTTAAATCTGGGTCCTAAGGGGGTGTGGTCAAGTTCTTGAAACCCATACTGCTGTTTTTGAATCACTGAAAGTAGTGGAGGTTTCTCAGTTTGCAGAGACTTTGTTGATGCAAATGTGTTCATGTAGAATGCTCAACACATTAGTTTTATATAGATCCAATCCTGTTGCCATCTTCTTGACTTTTCATCTCTTATAACCCAATATTTCCCCTTGGAAACCAGTAGTAAATATCTGCAATGGGTGAACTTCATAAGAATAATCTCCTATGAATTTTTGGCTTAGGTGAAGCTTCTTAATTTTTAGTTCAATGTAGAGTAGGAAAGTAAGAAATTAGGCCACATTTAGTTTGCAGAACGGACAATTACTTAGCACTAAATCTAGGCTATACTGGAGATGATAAAGCTTTTCAAATCCAAATTAATGTTTTTTAATTGCACAAAGGCATTGTTTCTGAACTGCCAAAAGAATCTGGCATACCCATCTTGCACAGACTTTAGATGTTTATGTAAAATGTGCAAATAATTATTTTTGATAGATCAAATTTCTTTGACTTTTAAACCTACCATCACTTAATATTTCCTCCAAAACACATAGCATTTCTTAAAAAAAAAAACAAAAAAAAAAATAATATATATAATATATATATATATATATATATATAAATTCAATAGTTGTCAGTTGACTTTTTTGCAAGAATCATCATCTATGGATTCTTGGCCCATGTGAACGTGTTTTATCAATTTTTTAACTTTATGGGGCTATTACATTTAAAAGTACATGAAGCTACGAAAAACTTTTCTGAGAAGCAAGCTTCACCTCTACCACTGGTGGGTTCCTAGATAAGTTCCTAGCTGGGGCAACAGTTCCTGTGACTAGAACTGTTGTTAAACCTACAATAATATAAGTAGTTACATGAATTATTTTGCAATTGTGATGAAAATGTTTTGCATAAAGCTGTGTTCCTGGTAGGTTTTCCCTAAAGTATAAGGTAATATAAGTAGTTTTCATGGTAAACCAATCATATATCCCAAAAGTGAAATGTGCAAATGTTTCTTTCGGTGCACTGTTGAGGGTAAGTGGTAGATACAATAGTTTTCAAATAGGAAGAAGACAAATTAGCATGCACACGCATAATAAGAGCACTGTTGCTATTTCTTTTGGATTAAGATTTTCTTTCTGAAAACATTAATCAATGAACAATACTCAGTTCACAACATTTCCAAACAAACTAGCCCACACTTCATTCAATAAATGGTTAGAAAAAGAACATATATGATCTCTCTAACAAAACAAACATCCCTAACAAACTATTCATCTAGCATTGCCACTATACCTGTATTGCCAGAAATGTTTTTATGTCAAGCTGGAAAAAATTGGAGCTATCTAAATACTTCCATGAGAAAAATCTAGGCATGCAATTTTGTTATTTTAAAACTAATGAAAAAAAAAATTGTGCAGCAAAAGAAATATGCATATAAAACAAAAATAATAATAAAAAAATACCTGTTTATTGAAATACAAAAAGCCCTTGGGACAGTTTACATTATGGAATGGAGCAAAGCATGTGACTGCTCCATCAATAGTCATGGGATGAACCCTCAGTTCTCCATGAACTGTCAGAAATAACCAGTGTGGACAAATGCCACACACAAAAACCTACAATAAATTATTTTACATATAACAGTGAACAAAAAAAAAAAAAAAAAAAAAAAAAAAAAAAAAAAAAAAAAACAATAGGATAGCAAAGATCATGATACAATATAACCTATTTACAATACATTCTGGTGGTCACCTATTAGGTGCATCTGCAATAAAATGGACATCACTTCTGGCCTCAGGAGTGGCCAATATCATTGGTGGGCAAGTGCCCGCCCATTGAAAAAAAAAAATTCCTTTCACAAAAATTTTTACCATCAATAAATTTACATTGAATAATGAATATAAAGCTATTTTAAAGTTACACACATATAACTGGTACACAGGCAAACTCAAAATGAAATGTAATATAATTTAATTTTTAAATGGTAAATGTAATGTACTTTTCTCAAGCGATATAGCTTTTATATGCATTGAAAAAAAATCTATGTAAATTTCTAACATATATAAAATGCATACATCAAAATGTTTTTTCAAGATAATGAAAAGAATACTAATAAAATTGAAAATATAAAACACAAATTTTAATAACTGATATTAAAAATAATTCCTATTAATGCTGATTTGTTTCTATAATTCTGCTGATTTTATTTGACATGCTATTTTTACTCAAAGAAAGATTATAATTCTCACTGAATCAAATTATTATCACTCATGCATATTAAAATAATACCAATTAGTATTGACATACTTCTGCAATTTAACTGTTTTTATTTGGCATACCGTATTCATAAGAAGTGTATAATGCTCATTAAATTAAATTAATAAAACTAATAAAAATTAAAATAACACAAATAAGTGTCAATTTATTTCTGCAATTTAACTGATTTTATTTGGCATGCCATTTTTAATCATAAGAAGAGTATAACACTAATGGAAATTAAAATAATGCCAATTAGTGTTGATTTATTTCTGCAATTAAGCATTTCATTTTAATTATGCAATTTTTGCCTATATGAAGAGTATATAAGTAACTGAATAAAATTGTTATTAAATATTTTTTAAGTTAAACTTACACCGCTGTACCCAGATATATCTACAAAATAACGCAGCCATCTTTTGTAACTGGATGTCTGTTCTTCCTCTTCTGTTTTCTTAGCCTTGAATAACTTTCGTTCACGAGTAATGATATCATGATTCAACTGCAGGAAAAGATTACAAATCTCAAAATTAAAAACATTATTTCATTCACTGACAAATTAAAAAAAATGAGCATCATAAAAAGAAAAAAAAAAATCTGAAAGGGTTCAGATTTTAATAGTCACTGAAAACGGTTCTTTTAAAGTTTAATATGTATCACTTCAGAGTTGCCACTTAAACAGGAGAATGAAATTCCCTGACTTTTCCAGGTTTACCAGGTGTGTTTTAAGAAAATTCCAGTCTATCTGCATAGTGTGCATTGGCTGTAAATTAATTATTGAAACACAAACAAAAAGACTGAAACTTGCAAACAACACTTAAAAATACAAAAATTTGCCAATTACATATGACTTTATACATGCATTTGATTTATATATATATATCTAATCTCCAAAGCATAACTACTATAATTATAATAGGAGTTGTTTTCTCCACTGAAAGATTGAGATTAGAATCTGCCCAATCTTTTTTTTTTTTTTTTTTGCAGTCATTTTGCAGCTAAACGAAAGAAAGAAATCTATTTGTTAATATTTTAAAATAAACTCAGATATTTTATATTTATTTAGCAGCACACATAAGAAAAAATATATGTGCATTAAATTTCATGATGGTATGTCATCATACTGTTAGCATTAGTTTCAGGAGTATGACACAGAAAATTGCCTGAAATTTTAAAGTATTATTAAACAATAAAAAATAAATTTAGAAGGAAGAAGCACACTAAATGATACAAATAACATTAAAACAAAGTTAATTATGCAAAGATTAAACATTGAATTACAACAATCAATGATATTTTGGTTAATATAGTCATAATAAAGGTTTAGCCTTGATGACTGATTACTATTTTTTTTTTTTATTTTGCTGCAAAATGACAAAGAAGGTATTTATTAAAAAGAATGTTTAAAAGATTTTATGATAAAATTCTAGTATACACGATTCTTGGCACGATTTTGAAAACTGTCAGCATTACCAAAATGACCTGTTTACTGCTCATCATAATGTCGCCAAATCCTGTTTGTACAATATACTAGAATTAATCTGATTTTGTTTTATATGAAAACAGGAAAGTATTTTCTTTCATTCAACACACACTGCACATGTGTGTCTCGATATTCTCAAGTTTACTGGAAACTTGCTTTACCTTTCTAAAAGACAAATCTTATTAAAGCTGTGAAAATTGGCTCTATGCCAGCTGCCTGAACGACGCTAACATGATACATAATTCACAAAGAAAGTGATTGATTCCAATATTGGTGCAAAAATCACTTTTTTAGGGATTGCTGTATGAAATTCCCAGACTCTTCCAGATTTTGACTGAAATATTTAAATTTCCTGACTTTTTTGGTCCATTTTGGAATTCCCTGATTTGTTGTGGTTTTCCAGGTAAGAGTGGCAATCCTGATCACTAGTATATCACTAAGATTATCAACACAGATAGTTCATGTTGGATAGCGAAACATTTTACAGGATACTAGATGAAAACACATTTTATCTTCTGTTTATTTGGAAAGTGGAAAAAAATATATAAATAGCATTCTATAAAAGATTTGAGTTTTTAATAGATAACCATGAATTTAAGATAGCCTTGTTTGTAAATCCATAATAGGCAGATTCAATTTTAAAGATAAATGTCTTACATTTTGTTGAAAGGCAACAGAATCAAATGAAAAGAGAAACAATGCATTTATTGTGGACATTTAAAGTGAATTAATATTAAATCATATTTTTAGATTAATTGTTTTTTTGGCCTAAAAGTTAAAAACAATACAGGGGGAATTGAACTAAAATAAAAAAATTCCTCATATATGAAAAACCCAATTAAAATAATTACTTAAATAATATCTTTGAAAAGGCCACCATTTATTACTTTTTCTTTCTTTTCCTTCAAATATATTCTCTTTTAGTCAAAATTATCTTTGAAAACTGTGGCCTTGCTATAATAGAAGCAAATAAAAAGATACGGCATGAATTATATCTAAATTTTCAAAATGCACTATCATTCTTCAGACTTCCCAATTTTTCACCAAATCATGCATGCAAAGAATATGATGTCACACTATCACATTCAGACACTAACCTTAGGGTGCAAATAAAAGCATTTTATGAAGGGCCTTGTGGCATGAAATTCTTCTAATCTATTTAACATACAATTCATTTGAAAGGCAGAAATAGTGTATTTTTTCTCTTTCTGGTAATGGATGCACTCAACTCTTGTACCCAGCTATTCACTGTTCTTGCAACACTATATTTTCCAAATTTCCTATGGTGCAAACATTTTTTTCATGTTTATACTTTGTATGGTAATTAATCAGGACTCTTTTTGGTTACTTTTAAAATTTCTTAATATTGTAAATTTTAGGAATAGTAGTGTATATAAATATCAGGAGGCTCACAAAAACCAATCCTAAATGGCAAGTGAAGTTCTCACATATCTGGTTCAATTTATCCTTGGCTACCCAATATAATATCATCTTACATTAATGTGTTTTTCCCTTTCTTTGGATTTGAATTTTTGGGGGGACATCTTATAAATTTCACAATTGGGTGTGAAGTCAAAGAAACAAATGTATGGGATTGAGACAGATATGTCCAGCATTCAGTTACAAACTAGAGACATGATGAATTTGTGAATTTTCTTTCAGTGGAAAAGACAGCAAGTTGATAACAAAGAACTGGATTTTAAGCGGATCAAGTTTGGTTCTGAAGTGATATGATTTTCACTTGCAGCACAAACTGATACAAATGCCCTGTATTTACGGATAATAAATATTACATAATGGCTCTTCTGAAAGTTCATGGACAGAGATCATCCAAATACTTGAAAGGTTTTTCAGTGGATTTTGATTTCAAAGAAGCTGTCTGCACACTCCATACACCATTTCCAGAGGTGCATCAGCTTCTTAAACACAGTCAATGCAATATAGCAGATGTAGCAACATTAGCTTCCATGTTAAACTTCCATTCTGTTAACATGTTTTTTATCAGAAAACTTCAAAACTGCATGTTTGGCTGTACGGAAAGAAGTATAGGTACTATCCAACAGTTTCCTCCAGTGTTTTCACAGTCTTCCATATCACATGAGATCTAGTGTTATCCTGATGAAGAAACCCTTTTAATGAATTAGTTTCAGACATATTTTGCTAATTACTCATTATAAAAGATAAATGTAATAGTCTCCAATTATAGTTTATTACTCAGTAACCCAGTAGTATTCCACATACATTAAAAAACAAAATGAATTTCTTTCTGAAACCAAATTCTAGAAATTCCTTGAGGGGTGAAATGTTGCCATGTTTTCACACACTTGACATTTGAAATCATTATGTTTGATCTAAGAACTTATCATAGGCAATTGCAGTATTTAGAATTCAAGATTTTTCTTCACTTCATGAATAAATAAATACCTGGCAGTATCGAATGTGTTTGCATTCTTCATTTTGCAAATACAACATTCATTTTGTGCAAGAACAAGATACAGTTAGGTGCTTCTTAACAGTAACATGATAATTTTGCTATATTAGCATTTTCATTGCTAACGATTAACAGACTTTCATTGTTTTGTGTTACTTTCAAATTGCTGTGCTTCTGTCTTCTCAAAGTAATGTCCTCATTGTTCATATAAATTTACAGCTTTCAGCTTATCCTGCACACTACATTTGTCTTCCATCAAATGAACATGACCAGTTTGTCTATTCCTTCTTCCTCATCGCTAATGCTTTCTGGCTACTTCTTTATAACTTGATACAAATTTAATAGTGACCCTTTTTCTGATAAACATTCATTTATCCTTCTCATCTATCACTGCACTACACATTACAGCTCAAATTGTATAGCAAGCAGACATGTGATAAATGCACATTAGATTTACTCATAATAATAAAGCACAACACAGATTACACTGGGGAACAGCAATTTCATTTTCATAGATCTGCCAGTTGCTTTTGACTGATTTGTGGCCTCTGAATCCAAACATAACCTCTTTTTGTCTGTCACATCAACTTTTCAAGCTACAGAATACTTGTCTTAAAAGTCATACAAAATATATGCGTATAAAGGAAACTAAAAGGAAAACTTTTCAAACATACTGTTCATAACGAATAATTTTATTCATACAAAGGCTATATATAGTTACTACAAGTTAAATTTTATTCATACAAATAGTAAACTTTCTTTTACTATATGGTAAACATACATATTAAGGTAAACATTTTCACCTATGTTTTTTTCTGGAGTATTTAATCTGTGAACATTCTTGCTTGATGCTCCAACAATAGTCAATCATCATATGTACACTGTGGGGGGAAAGGGAAGGGGGGACAGTTCTATATGCCCCTTTCTGCTGGACCAATTGACGAAATTCAGCTTGCATTTTTCGTCTCGAAAGTGCAACTTAGGATATGTATTAGATTTGTAGATAGCATTGTTTTAATATAAGTATTTTGACACAAAATTAGACTTTTTCTGAAATGACATGCCATTTTTTTTCCATATTACGATTCTACGACTCACATTACACCAAACTTCTAAATTTTGTAAAAATCGCAGGAATAATATTTAAAAAATTAGCTCTCAAAATTTTAGCTATTCAATGTTAATTAAGTTTGGTATATATTTATTAATACCTCTTTCTTATTGAATTTATTTGATTTTTCCTCTTACATTTCAAAATTTAGGTTCATTCCAAATAAAATTCATCTGTTTTTTATGATTTATTCTTAAAATTTGTATTTTATAATAATTTTTATAACTTTTTCAGAAAAAATTTTGAATTATAACCTATTTCTAAGCATACCTGCAAAAAATTACAGTTTTTTATTCAAAATTTCCAAAGATATATGTGAATTTATATATTGGCATGTTTTGAAATTTGGCATATTTGTCAAAAGCAATAATCACATCAAATGTGGTTTAGGCATTTTGTTAAAATTATTTGGATGTAGGAATGATTTGCTTTTTTTCCACTCCTGCACAACGGAAGGGAAAGGAAAATATGTTGCCATATATTAAGAAGTTCGCCAAGTGAATTATTCTTGGCGCAAAGTGAAAAAAATTTGGCAAGACAAAATTTTTTAATTTCTCCGTAAATTTAACACCAAATTTTACAAAATGTAATATTTAGGCATAATTTGAGTCGTAGAATCGAAATATGGGAAAAAATTGGTATGTTATTTCAGAAAAAGTCAGATTTCGTGTAAAAATACCAATGTTAGAACAAAGCTATATATAAATCTACTATATATCCTAAATCATGCTTTCGAGACATGAAAAATGAAATTTGAATTTCGTCAATCGGACCAGTAGAACGGGAGATATAGAACTGCCTCTTTTTTTTTTTCGCAGGATATATTCCATCTACCTTGGTGGCATGACTGCATAACCTTTAATCTTGGTGGAATTGCTCACCCTGCTCATCAACAATTGCATAAAGATTTTTCAAAAGTCAAGATGGCTATGTAAAAAGTGCAATTTGATGCTCATGTTGCAAATGTCAATGACCATACCATACTGAAAGTACAGATTCTCACCTGATCATGTTGCAACTAAGCATTTGGAAGCTCTCCAAAAACTGATGGACAATTTTGCTGTAATTCTGTGCTCATGTATTTCCGAGAAAGTCTTTCATTATGCTTTTGAATGACACCTGAGCATTCTTTTGAAGTCTGTCACTGTTCAGATGAAATGATCATTTTTAAGAAGCTGCTGAATCTATGAACCATCAAACACACACGCCTTCATCTTTTCAAATGACAGGCTAGAAAATGCCAAAATGAGATATTTGAAACATCCTCCTTGAATAGGTAAAGCTTTACTATTTGCTTCATGAGATCCAGTTTTATATGCAGAGGTGTACATACAGAGGTGGTGTTCTTTCTGTCAACAAGCGGCTGATGTAAAACATTTGGATCACCAGGTTTCAGGTCCGATCTTGACAGTGAATTCAACTGCACCCAATGCTTCTCATGAACTATGCTGTCTCACATACATAAAAAACAGATATACTTGGTATATCTGGATTGTTGGCAACACACTTTCTCTTGATTGAAAGTAGAAAGTGGTACAACTTATTTCCTTTTTCCTACAAGTTTTTTTCTCTTGCAGCCTTTATGCTAAAAGCTCTAAAGCAGTTTTTGATAGTTCCAAATCTTGTACAAATTATTCAACACATGCTGGTCAAATCATATATGAATGAAATCATCTTTAATTTCAAAATCTTTGTTGTTGGGATCAATTTGATATTTACTAGAATCGTATTCCTGTATTTCAAAACAGGGTAATTCTTTGAAAACTGGCACTGGAAGTTCAGCTTCATGAGGCACTGGGAATTTAGCTAGCTGATAATAAACTAGGATACTCTATTTTACGTTTTCTTTTCTAGTTATATCCTAACGTTTTTACTATACAAAAGTAACGATCACTTGAATGAACTTTTGGCTCTTACCAAATCATAGGTATACCAAATGGAAATTTAGAATGTTTCCTTCATCCACATCTGTAAACTCTTGATACACTGCTTGCACACTTTTGTAAGGGTTTATACTGATCATGAATTTTCACTTTAAAATAGGCTTGCCTGACAAATGTACTGATTTTTGTCCTTTGATTTGGAAATGGTAAAACTGCCCTATATATATCAAAATGAGTCATAGCTGTTTCAGCAACTAGCAGAGGCTGACATAAGAAAAGATGTTCATATATAAATAAAAACTAAACCCTGGTAACCTTGTATACCAACAAGAACTCGGATTCCATGCCCAAATGCCCTTTATTATATAAGAGCGACACTCAACATCTCACTACAGTATCTCAGGCATAACTGAACTAGTGCAGACAAGTATGCACCTGTCACTGGGCTGCTACGGCATGATTCACCTGGTAGCAATTGGAGGGTTAATAGGATAGCAGAAGAACTTCCTATGATCCATGGTTGATGCCACAGAGAGTGGTCACATTCACGTAAGGTGGAGAGAAAAAAAAAAAAACTTGATGTGGTAGAAGAAAACTAAATTCAGTTTTGAAATCAGCATGCTTATTAACTCTAAAACAGTTCAAAAATCGAACTTGAACAGAAAATGTTACAAATTGTTCCCCAATGTTATATTCACAGCCAACAATTACAGAATTTGAAGTTTTGCCAATCCACAAAGTTTTGGAACACTTCTCATAGTATTCCAAGTTTTATTGCTTTATATAGCAGAGTTGTTATTGGAAATGAATGTCTGAGAAAGCAGAAAACAGCCAACATCACTAAAAATTATCTTACAGTTCTCTATAAAACATTACACAGAGTTATTAGAATTAACGATTGTGAGTTTAAGGATTACAAATTTATATATTAGAACATAGCTAAAATAATAATTTTCATAATACATAACTGCAAACCTTAGAAATTGAAAAATCTGGAGGTTCTTGAACAAAAACTGGGAGTTTTTATGTTGCATAGCAACAACATTTCAAAGGTATACACCAAATTCCCTGTATAATGCATTATTCAGGTTATCAAACTATTTATAATGTGAATCTAACATAAAATATGCTGATATTAAATTACATATTCTAAATTTTATGTTCCTTGACTTATTATTTCATTTCATAATTTTCTTAAGCATTTTTACTGAGAAAATCCCCAGAAGGGAAGGAAAGCTTTCATTTATCAAAGTACTAGCACGATGAAAATAAAATTAATAAATAATATACATGCTATTGTGTGAATAAACCTAGTGATATATCATATAGTTATGTAAAACAAAATTAAATATTAATTGATAAAACATTGGTTGAATCTTTCTATAATATTCTTCATATGTAGATTACAGTAGATTCAGACACTTCTGATCAAATAAAAGTTAACAAGCAAAAATATGTTAAAAATAATAGGGATGGGAGAATAAAATTTGCATAATTTAAGTTTAATTAATTCTATACATTTCTTTTATTAATGAAAAAAACTTTCCTTGTTAAAGGCTAAAAATTAAAAGTTGAAATATTAATACAATACGTAATGAAAGATGAAAACACATTAATTCAGATAACTACTGAAAACTTAAAAGTTCTTTTAATTACCTATATTTATAAAAAAACTATTCAAATGAATTCCAACAACTGCAATACATGCATCACAATTAGGACAAAGTGACTGGCATACACTCTGGAAGATGCCTTGCATGCCAGGTACTTCTGCATCAGCAATGCTAATTCTGGTGACAAAATCTTCAGATGCATCAGTCTGCACCCCATAAAAGGATCTGGCATTGCTGTGATGTAAATAATGTAGTTGCTGGGCATTCGTTTCAACATTTTTCATAAATATTATTTCTGGTAAATATGCATCGTTAAAACAAATTTTCCGTCTCCACATTTTTTGCATTTATTGTGTTTCTACTCTCTCATTTCATATGCCACTATATATTACATTATGGAAATTGATTTAGCATACTAATGCACAATGCTATTTGCTTCATCCCTAAATTGCTCTTGTTACTTTATGGATTATTTTTAAAAGCTACATTTGATACTGAAATACAAATAGACTAAGATAGATAAAAGAGATATTTTAAAATACAATATTTATTACTATATGAAGGTTTCATATTATGCTTCATTTGGAATTAAATGCTTTAAATTTTAGCAACTTTTTTTAAAAGCTAAATTATGCTTTGCTTTATCCACTAATCTTGCAAAAAAACTTTCCCATTAACAGGGCAAAAGCACTAAATAATACTGCGCTTTTTTATTTAGTTTACATAAAAAATTAATTTAAAATGAAATGAGTTATTTATTTAATGGAAATGAAATATTTTATTTTCAAAATAGTTTATATTGCTACCATTGTCGTCAAAACAAAAGATCTGATGTTGGTGAAATTTGCATTCGATTTTCTAAAGTCTTAAATTTGTTTTTCACTTATGGAGAAATACCCAGCAGCCACACTCTTGTTAAAATCTTTAGAAAATATGATTACCTGTAGTTTGAAATTTAGCATATAAGAATTTCTTTTCCTGCTCATCTTTCAGACAAAAAGTAAAATGGCACAGTAAATACAATTAGCTCAGATACCACAGACAACTAATAACAGACAACAAGCAAATGAAAAAATATGCTATCTTCAAACAGGGTTACCAGAGTTAAAACTAAAGTCATTGGCATCGGGTGTTTCCTTATATCAATTTGATTAGAAAATATTCTACCTGTTTTACCTGCTCGGTAACATTCCTGTGATTATGATGATATGTCTGAATGTTACAAAAATTATTCTTTTCTCATTTCAGCTTGTATATGGATTTTGAATTTTGGTAAATTTTTGAAGAAAAAACACACTCTTGCTTTGTACACGGATCAGCTTATATTTGGAAAGATATGGTAACCATCATGTTATACTAACCATCTTTCATGTAAACTAAATTCATTTCATGTAAATACTACTTACTAAAATCTGAAATGGTGAACACTTATAGTTCTAAATAACTGTGGTTCTATATGAAGATGGTCACTAAAACATGACTATCAAAATGTTATAATTTGATATTTATTTATATTACCAAATATATGGTAGCTTTCAAAAATTTACAAATTTCAAAAGCTTATAGGTCATCAGCAGTTCACTTGTTAAATAAATAAGCACTATCAATACAGGATATAGTAATGTCAGCAACTTTAAATTTTAATTCCTGGGTTCTTTAATAGGGTCATTCTTTGCACTGTGATAATCTTATTTTAATGCAACATTTTCACTATTATAAGATGCATAATATGAAGGAATTAAATAACCTAAATATTAGTACAAAATAATCATCTCACCTTTCTAAACCTTAATTTTAAATGATTATCTATTTGAGTTTCATAGAAGGGAAATGCTTCATAAATTAATAAATCTTCATCTGCCCGTGCCTGAAAAGATTAAAAAATTTGGTTGAAAAATATGATGTATACAAAAAGCCTCAAACTGCAGTGAGCCGTAATTCTAAGCTCAGCCCATAAATAATGCCGTTTTTGAAGTAGGTTCTGAAGGTATTAACCCTTTAACTGTCAAGTTATTTTGATGATTTGGGTACACAAATTGTCAAAATTTTTTTATTGGAAAAACCAAATGTAGCCGAAATAAACATCTCCCAATATATATTTGGCTATGACAATACGATGCACTCAAAAAAAAAAAAAAAAAAAAAAAAAAAAAAAAAATTACCCCGAGAAATACTCGGGCGTGACATTTTCGAACACCAGTGCTGTGCCCGAGATAGTTAAAAGGTTAAAAAAAAAATGTGATATCCTAATGCAATTTCACAGGGATCCCATTTGCATAGCTTAGACATGATTTCAAATTACTTCAAATAGAACAGTTGGCAAATTAATCTCTTCTTCCAACTCTTCATCAGTTGCATATGAAATTCCTTCATTCAACACATCATCATTATTATTTTTTAAAAAGAGATGAGGCAACCACAGCACTTGGCACTCATCTTTTGAAGTAATGTCACTTTGTTGAAATTTATTGAACCATCATTGGCACACGAAAATATTCAAAATATTTTTATCATCTATTTCTTTTTCATTTTTTACAGCATTTGATGCATTATTACCTTTTTTATACTTGCATAACATGATATGTCTTATGTGCTATTCTCATGCACTATTCTGACAAAAGGCTATTAAAGCAACAAACTAGTACTGTTTTGCTTGCAAGCCAAAATTTACCTCATTGAAGCTGTCTTTGCTCAGGATATTTAAACATTCATGAAAACTACTCATTTAATCATGTTAGAATAAGTTCTGCTTGAAAAACAACATTATTTATGAGCTGATAAATAAAACAAATTACCTTACATGTTTGTGATTTTTGATTCAAGCAAATACTATTTCCTACTTACATGGTAAATTCAACAAAAAATTAATATTTTTAATCTTTACCAAAAGCATAGGTCTTGAAGAACGAATGCCTAAGCCTACTACTAGTATTTCATGAATAATGGGTAGAGCTTCGTGCTGTTTCTCTGAAACTTTATCTGAAGTCATCCTAGAACATATAGATATTGTATATATTAATACATGAATGCATGTATATATGTAACATATAAAAGGGATAGAAGCTAAATAAGCACACAATATAGAATGAATCTTTTAACAATATAAGGGATAAAATTAAAAAAGTATAAGCGTTTTACTTTTTAAAAATAAAAACTAACCCAGGCAAAGTAGAAGTAGCTTGGCCACTGTCAACTAAATACTTTTGCCCCATTGGAAAGTTCTTTACTAAATAACATAGCTTGTAATTTGGTAGACTATAAACCTAAAACATAATTTAATAGTTAAAAGAAGCAATTTTTTTAAAGAATGCATTAAATAAATAACATTAACAAATTCAAATGATTCTGCTCAAATTCGTACAAACACTTCTAGGAGACTATATTATGATTCATGTATTAATAAAAGTAACAAAAAGGATAAACATTAAAAAAGGCAAATGTAACAACATCCATATTTAACTCAAATCACAGTTCACCTGAGAGCAATTAATAATAATAAGAAAAATAATAAACAGAAAACTATTTACAACCTTTATCATAATCAACAGAAAAATGTTATTAATAACTCACTTGCATTTCTAAACAATTTAATAAATTCATTTGGTTACATAAATTCAATCAGTATTCAAAACAAGAAGCAAATTATATTTTTATAATATTTTCATGATTCAATAGGAGTCAATGTGAAAAAGAAGATCAATTGCTTACTTAACTTATTTTTATAACTAAGCACTTTACCTTTAACAAATAGTTTAGTGCTATATACAGTACTTTATATCCTGCGCTATGTACAGTTATGAATAAAAGCAATTCCAAATACTATAACATCATCTGCTATTCACTGCAATTATTTTATGTTCATTTCTTTTCTTCTTTCTTTGCAGCCTTTTCCTTTTTTTAGCTGGGGTGGGGGGTTATTTTCTAAACACAGCTTTGTGATAGCATTATTCTGCATTAAGCAAATTTAACTTTTTGGGAGAGGGAGACAGGGCCCAGTTCTACAGCCTTGTTAATCTGTCCCTCGTGAATCAGAACTCAATTATATTTACACATACCAGTGTGCATAAAACTAAAACACATTGATATTTTGTAATAAATTTGATTCACAGCAGCTTATTTTCCATGAATATGAGATAAATCCTTTAAAAAAAAAAAGGATTCTGTAAAGTCATCTTTTCTTAAGCATATCACTCTTAAATGGTTTTTGATAATAAATTGCTTTCTTTCTATGCAATAATGCATTTTGCTATATTTTAATAACTTCCAGTTTTATGATATTCTTTCAATATTCTTCCCTTCTTATACTGGAATAACTGAGTATTTTTTTAACGAAGATCAGAGACATACAGATGCAGAACACTTTCCTTTATGCTCCAATTATATTCTGTATAATCAATAAAATCAACAGCTTTAGCAATATCCCTAAAAATTCTACATTATTGCAAGTTACTTTTTATCTGCTTATTGCCAGCACTGTCATTACTTTATTTCAAGATGGTAAACCTACAGAATGAAATTATTATTTATAATCACAATTTATAAAACAACTTCGTAAAAATATTTACAATGCTAAATGCTGAATAAAAAAAAAAAAAAAAAAAGTTTCAGATTTTAAATTAAGTCTAAAGGGGCAATATTTTAACGTTTTGTGTGTTACCTTTACTTGTTAAATATCATGTTCTTTGCACTTAAATCATAAAATTCAATGTTGCAAAATAATTTTAAAATGAGCATATCTTTAGAATTTCCGATACACAGATCCACAGGCTGGAGATAAAAAGGTTCCCCCGTAGAGCTTTACCATTGCTTGCTTTTAAATCGTTGAGTTTGTTAATCAAAAATTCATTAAAGTTTTACAAAATATGAAATCGATAGTAAAACAAATTCCAAATTTCAAATTTGGGCTTTCAGATTCATATATTCACAGTAGTATTATGTCATTCAAAATTGGATGGCTCTAGGTACCGTTGTATTATAACAATAGGAGAAACATACATACATTTAAGTAGATTCTTCATTATTTAATTTCTTCAAATATAATACAGAGCGATAGTATTTGGTGGCAACGTTTTGAAAAGTGATACAGCCTTTTAAAGTTTTCAACGCAAGATTGCAAAACGAAAACAATAATTCTTCAAGGTCAAAGCCCCTTTGGGGGGGGGGAAATCATTTTATGGTGCATTCAGATAAATGACAATCCTTCAAAAGTTCATTCAGTAAAAGTGCAAATTTGAAAGCCGATAAGGCTCAGCTAACTCTCTAGTGCACGGTAGTCGCGCCCTGAAACCACCAATTTTCTAATATTTTTCTCCTCTTCTTTACGAAATTTTTGAGTGACAACCGATTATTACGATTGATTACTGATCTTTTACCTCTAAATAACACAAAATGACTGCAGAATCACATATTTTTTAGGCCTGAGTACTTCAAATCAGATGCCTTTTAAAATTTGTTTTCAATGAGACATAATAACTCCCTTTTTTAATAGAAACAACTTTAAATTTCAAAGTTATTCATTGCACATCATTATTTCTTCTATCCTAAACAATAAAAAATAGCAATAATTAAACTGCATATATATATATATATATATATATATAACCTATGTATATTTAATAGGAATGTGTATTTTTACCAGGATACAGATTGAACCACAGAGTTATTTTATTACTAAATAATACACACACTTGCCTAGTGAAAATGCCTTTCATTTCCAGATATTTTTCTCTGAGCTCAATACGCTTGCTTCCTATGTTAGTATTGTGATTTTCTAATTTTTTTGTATGGTTTAAATATAATGTAAATATGCTTTGCTATAATTCAAAATAGAAATCATGTAAAAATTTTATTTAAATTAAAAATATTTTGGGACAAAATACAAATAAAATAAATACGAATGGGAAATGAAAGCTCCGTACCAAAGCCAAAATGACCATGCTCCCGTATTAACATAAAAAACCACAAATTTCATGTGCCAGAAAAAAAAGAGACTAAATAACACCGGACATATACCAGTAAAATGCAAATCTCTGCGGTGTGCATTTTGTAGCACAAGGGAGAAACCTCATATACCAAGATAACAAGTGCGAAACGTACGTTGTGGGTCTATGCATGTACCATGAGTTTTTTTACTTCATTTATCCAAACGTACTTATTATGTAGGTTCTTATGTTTTCGCTGCTATAGAAAAATTACATAAATGTTTATTTTTTCAGACGATTTACTTTGTTAAATAAGTTAAAAAATTTATGTACAATGCAATTCTTAAGTACATTTTTTTTTAATTCACAAATTTCTTCATTTATTGGAAATGCACATGGAAAAAGGTAAGTTTTTTTTAACCTATTGTTCAGTAAGTTTCAAAGTCCTAGACATGCCCTGGTTTCACAGTGCAAACACCACCCACAGATCAATGGGCAAGAGTAGATTTTTTAAAAATTCATATATTATATGTCTCTAGGATCATAATATTCAATTTCTAGAGTTTTTTTAGTTAAAAAATCATAAAAGTATTATTGCATGCATCAAAGGGTTGTTCATAAAAGTAAATATTGCATGCATCACAGATCCACAGATCAATGGGCAAGAGTAGATTTTTTAAAAATTCATATATTATGTGTCTCTAGGATCATAATATTCAATTTCTAGAGTTTTTTTAGTTAAAAAATCATAAAAGTAATATTGCATGCATCAAAGTTCAGCAGCTTTCCTTCAAATTTTACATTTTTTTCTGGCAATAAAAGTTCATGCCTAATAACAGAAACTTTTTTTTTTTGGTACTTCTATACATATGTTATTTATCTGCACAAAATATTTTAATATATTACAATGCATAATATCATATGTTAAACTGCATGGATATTTAACATTATCTCATTAAAAACACAAATCTGCTGAAGGGTATTTTTTTCAAACATAACTATTTATCTGTGGTAACAGCAGCATTACAGATTGAATGGCATTAGTATTTCTAAGGCAGAAAAATATAAGTTCTACTGCTTTGTTTCTTACATTTTTGGAAGGACTGTTTTACATTAGAATTCATTACTTTCTTTGTTACAGCTTTTTTTACAATTTTGGAAGGAAGAAGGATTTCTTGATTCTGTGCTCAAGCATATGATGTTACTGCGTAAAATAAAATATATAAAATTAAATATGCTTTCCCACATACATATATTCATATGTTCATCATCTCTCCTCCCCAAAACGTGACTACATGCTGCTGTTTACAAATGCTGAGTCTTATGCTATTTCACTCTGTTAGCTCTTAAGCTTTTTAGTACTTTCATATGTTATTACAGTTCTCAAGTGTTATCATATGCTTTGACATTTACCATAAAAACTTGTTAAAATACAAACAAAAGTACAACAAAGAGAATAAACTAAGTTAAAACAAAATAAAGACAATAACAAGATAATGGTTGTACTTGTCAGCTATAGCAGCTCTTGAGATAAAAACTGCCAAAATGGCAGTAAATTACCAAACGTGGCTAGCTTTATTTACTTTTGATGATGTAATGTTATGGCAACCAATCAGCCTGGATCTTCTTTAATGATGAATTCAGAATTATTTCATGTTTTTTCTCGTAATAATAATAATAATAATAATAATAATAATAATACACTTTGTTTTGAGAATTTAAGTTTGAATTAGAGATTTTTCTTCAGCTAGTGTTCTTACACCTGTGCAGATCTGCATTCTTACAAGTTAAAGATCATGTGTTTCTTCTGCCATTGGATGAAATACATGCAGAATGATTTTTGAATAAACAGTTTTTTAATTTTGTAGCCATTCAATAAATTATCTTTGTGCATAAAAGTGAAAACTCTGCAGCTTTTTTTTCTTAATAAAAAAAAATCATGGTACATAGGTCTTTTCTAAATATCAAATCCTCAATTTCTTCTTAACATTCAGTTGTGTTAACATTTGGAAATTCAACGTGAGTGGTTAAATGAATTTGAAATTTTTTCAGGCATTTGTAAATTAAGCTATGAAAAGTGCTCTTGAATGGTATGGGGTGAAGGACTAAGTGTTTCAAAATATGAAAGCTTGATTTACAAAACTGGCAAAAAATTTGCGCTGCATAAAGCTCCATTTACGATAAGCAAGTTTCAAATTTAAGTTGCAAAGCATAGAAACACCCCAAGAGCATTTACCCTATATGTATTAAAATTATTTATAAGCCATTGTCAGTAGAAATGGACATAATATAATCACAAATAGAAGTTTTAATTTTATGTTTGTTTCATTTTTAATACATTGACTGTCGTGGGGGCCCCGGTGATTGACGATGCGACCAATAGTAAAAATACATAATTAAGAGTAAATATCGATACTGATAAATTTTTAAATAACACCATTGTTACTATAATGGTTTAAAGAAAATAAATCACAAAAAATTAAATAATAAATTGCAAAAAATATCTACAGCGCTTGGTGACCCCCCCACCACGAAAAATATATTAAACACATTTATATAACTCATGTCATCTTCCGTAGATAATACTTCAACACAACATACATCACATAATAAAAAAAAATCATATTGGCGCTATAGGCAAACCACGTAAAATGTGCGTGGCTAGCAAGCCACCATTTTGAAAGAAGGGGAAAAAAAAAAAGGTCTTAGTGCATCAGTTTGGAACTAAAGATGAAATGTGCCAAAATCTTTTTCAATCAACATGTACCCAATCCTCTGTCCAACAACTAAAATAAACTATCATTGCAGAACAAGGATGGTCAAGAACATTAGCCTTCTTTTTTAAACAGCAGTCATGATTTCTTGCTCTCATCACAGATAAAAAGCTCTGTCTATTTATCACACTATTACCTTTTTTGTGTACATAAAGACGAGCAGAATTAAATGGCTTTGAAAGATGATGGACAGGTCTTTGAAAGATGGTGGCTAAACAACACTTTTTCATTTAACAGCTTTAAGATAAGCTTGCAGAGTAAAATTTAAGGGATAAAAGTAGACATCTAATCAGAAATAGCTTGAAATTAATAAAAATCTGCTCTTGTATAATAACATAACATGCAGTGTTAAGTAGCAACATGAATATTTTTAAGGACTGCATTAAAAACTCACTGTTAATTCATATTGTAAAATTTTACAGGCTTTGGAAAATTTGTTAGATATTAAGCAAAGAACATACCTCTAGAACTCCATTTTCTCGGACAATAAATAACCAGAAAGTAGGTTTCACATCTTTCACCTCTATTTTTCGTCTTTAAAAAAAAAAAAAAAAAAATAATAATAATAATAATAGAATAATAATAATTTGAAATAATCTTTATTTACAAAACATAATTATAATAATGTAATTAATATATATGTATAACATTAATCATAATTGATAAGTGTGTGTATATATATACACATTTATCAATTAAGATTATCAGTTAAGTAGTATCTTTACACACACACACACATATACCGGGTGGCCATAATTAAACTGACAATGCTCAGAGTGTTCTGTAGCGCAATTTATTTGCGAGAATGACGCCACATTTTGTAGGAAGATTAAACAAGACAGGGACGAAGGATTCCGTGAAAAAATTAATTAGTTTCAAAAGTTACCGCTAGGGAAACATTTGGCACTGTGTAATAGAAAATAAAGTGTTAACAAATGCAAATCAATACAGAAATTACCTTTTATTTTGCATTCAAATGAGGTTCAGTGAGGCTGCCGTTGTTGTGGACCACATACTGCATTCTGTGCACAGTATGCACAACAGCAGAAAGTAACATGTCTGCAGGAATCTCCCGTACAGTCTGTGATATGTTATCCTTCAACGTAGCCAGGTCCTGGACTACTTGTGATTGACCTTAAACTTAAGGTAACCCCATAGCCAGAAATCACATGGGGTAAGATCAGGCGACCAAAGTGGCCATGCAGTTGGAAAGTAGTGGCTAATGACTCTTTCTGTTGTGAATTTTTGTCGTAGCATCTGTAGCACTCATACAGCAACGTATGGAGGGGCTCCATCTTGCATGAAAATGATTTCCCCCAGGCATTGTCTTTGCTGAAGTGCCAGAATGACAAAGCTGTTCAACATGTGGCGATATTTCTCTCCGGTAACAGAATAGGTTTCCGGTCCTGTCGATGTAATGTTCTCATAGAAAAATGGACCTACGATATATTCCGCTGTGAACCCACACCAAACAGTTACCTTTGGTGAATGTAAGGGAATTGCTGTGACTGCATATGGTGGTTTGTCATCCCAAATTCGGCAGTTCTGGGTATTCACAGTTCCATTCAGGTAAAAGTGGACCTCGTCTCCCCATAAGATTTTCCACGGCCAAGCATCATCCATCTCCATTCTGGCAAGAAAGGTGAGAGCAAAAGTCAATTGCTTATCATGGTCGGGATACAGTAACTCCTGTATACGGCTGATCTTGTACGGATAGAAGTTGATAATGCTTTCGTAAGATTTTCCAGACCGTACTGTAAGGCATATCCATATTCCGAGCTACTCCACGAGCGCTAGAGGTGGCAGCAATATTGTCTGGTCCTCTGTCGACAATCGCTGTGGCAACTGCTTCGATTGTATCCTATGGTACAGGTTTTCGTCCTCTGCCTGACTGAACCTTCCGAGAACCTGTTTTCTCAAACGTCGCAACCACTGCTTTTAGCCCATTAACTGGCACAGGTCCATTATCTTTACACATTTTTTATGCGCTCTAAAAGCACGAAGAGCGGCTGACGCGTTGCACTGGTTGAGGTAATAGAATTTGACCAGTAACGCACGCTCGACTAAAGAAAGAGACGTTGCACATAAACTTTCAATCTGATTGATTCGAAACATAACACATTGCCTTTTAAAACCCAAGCAGCTGGCACTGTGCGAATGGATGTAACGTGAAATTTGAATAAAGAACTTCTTCTGCTTAGCATATGTGATATTGCAGATCATGAGACTTTTATCGGTGTTTATGTAGATTTTATGCTTTTTTAAAAGTGTTGCCATATTGCACTTGAACTAAATCAGAAAATGTGCATAATAAAAGGTAATTTTATTCCGTATTAATTTGCATTTGTTAACAGTCTATTTTCTATTACACAGCGCCAAATATTCCCCTAGCGGTGACTTTTGGAACTAATTTATTTTTTCCCGGAATCCCTCGTCCCCCATCTTGTTTAATCTGCCTACAAAATGTGGCGTCATTCTCGCAAATAGATCGCGCTACAGAACATTGTGAGCACTGTCAATTTAATTATGGCCACCCAGTATATATATGCAATCAAAATGAAACTAAACCAAAACCAAATCATTCTGAATGGGAATTTCATCTTAGACACATTGCATTTGCTCTCAGCTGCTCTGTCTAGCTAGATTGCTGTCTCTACTTTCTCACTTACACATACATATATACATAATTCACATAAGAATGGGTGCGCTTAATGCTAATTTAGATTATTGCCATCAAAAATGTTTGCCAATGAAAATAAATATTAAATTGGTGACTAGGATTGCAACTACTTCTTTGCATCTCTGTGTCAAAAAATTCAAAATTATTACATGATATAAAAAATTTTATAGTCATAAATAGTAAATATTTATGGCTATAAAACTGATATTTCTTTACAGAATACTAAAAGGCAGGTGCCTTGTATAGGGAGTAGAGTTTTTACATTCAATTGTAGCTGAACATGTGATCACCTTTGGCAAGTGGTTGCATTGATTTGCTTCTGGGGGACTCGCTCAGTTTTAATCAAAGTTTACTCTATTATTTTACTATATTTTGTTCCTTTTTGTGTATTAATTATTACATTACTCTACAATAAACAAATCTGGTTTTCTTTTATAACGAGTAAATAATTATTAATTTCAATAAAATATACACCATATACACAACATTCTCTTATTCAGAGTCAGATTTGGTTTAGAGGTGGAAAGGCTAGGTTTTCTAGGTTCACAATATCTCCTTTTCCTTACGATGTTTTCGTAGGTAATCTACTTTTCATCCCCAGTTATCATCCAGTTCAAGAAGGGCTTGATTTTGTTCCTGAGTATGCAGAGAAGTGCGCATGATGATTCGATCATCCAAATTCTTCTGACTTAATTAATGTAGCACCCATCTTGAATATTTCCACATCAATCCTATCTTCCGAATATGGTCTAAAATGGTTTGCTGAGCTGAATTAAGCTTTCCTGTGATATCAGATGTTGTCAGAAAAAGGATCTCGCTCCAACTTCCATCATCGTCGATCAAAGATGGTCACCCGGAACATGGCTTATCAGAAAGGTCGTAATCACCTGTTTCAAAATTTTCGAACTGTTTTCTGCATGCCCTATCAGAAACACTTTCAATAAATTTCTACATGCTTCTGTAGCCTTTCTTTCTTGTTGAAATTCATATAAAATACAAAGGAATAAAGTAACTTTATCAGTAATCATGTGAATCAACTTTTTAGTTAATTTGCTATGTCAGTATGTATACATTAAGCGAAAAATATAGAGCCGAACATGCGCCAGATAAACTTGAGCTTATGTGTCGAAAATGTTTGCCATAGAAACGCACAGAACTTTCTGTTAGACCAAATGTATAAGTTTGGGATGGCCGATTACAGCAAAAAAGGGAGGAGCATAACTAGATGTTATTGTGGTCCCATATAAAAAAATTTCCAAGTTCTGTAGCTACTTGTTTTTGAGCTATGCATGACAAAAACTATAGATACTACATCACAAAAAAAATCTCTTCTGTACAATCCATTTTGGAAAAAGAGTCCTTTATTCTGTGCATACTTACAGATGTCATGCAAAAACATTGTTAAAATGGATTCAAAAGCAGTCAAAATGCATATTTTTGTTGAAATATGACACCCCAAATTTTTTGTGATTACAATAATTCCTTTACTTCATACAAGTTGAAATTTATATTTCAGAATTATTTAAAAAATTATTTGGTAATTCTCCTCTCTACTCCCAAAATAGTTACAATACAAAGACCAAGATTCGGACTTGTCGGGACTTGGGTGACTCCAGAATAGGGGACGAAAAGAAGAATGTGAAAGAGAAGAAAGAGAAAGAGAAAAGGAACGTGAAAGAGAAAAAGAACACGAAAGAGAAGAAAGAGAAATATGAGAAGAACGCAAAAGAGAAGAAAGAGAAAAAGAACGTGAAAGAGAAGAAAGAGAAAGAAGAGAAGAACGCAAAAGGGAAGAAAGAGAAAAAGAATGCAAAAGAGAAGAAAGAGAAAAGGAACGCGAAAGAGAAGAAAGAGAAAGGGAACGCGAAAGAGAAGAAAGAGAAGAAAGGGAAAGAAAAGAAGAGCGTGAAAGAGAAGAGCGAATTAGAGCCTTTGAGCTACAGAAACTTCAGTTGGAAACAATGGCTGCAACAGCACAGCTGGTAGAAACTACGCAGTTACCTGAGCAGCCTTTAAAAATCAGAATTCACAATGTCATGCCACGTTTCAACCCTAAAGAAGATGAAATAAGTTTATTTCTGGTGTTTGAGCTAAAATGACACCCATACCAGAGTCTGAAACATCAATTTGCAAAATAAACTCCTTATTGAAATCAGGCGAGTGTGAGGAAATCAGGCGAGCGTCAAGCTAAAATAATGAATATACCTGCTGAAAATGAAGTGGCTCAACTTATTTCATTGCTACCTCCTGACATTGTTCAGCTTATTGCTAGAGAACCAGAAAAAGACGTGAAAAAGTATGAATATGTAAAATCTTTACTGTTACAACGATTTAAATTGAGTGCGGAAAAATTTCGACAACTATTTAATAAACACCAAAAATCTACTGAAAGTACTTGGTATGATTTCTACTATGAATTAAAGAATTATTTAGAATGATGGCTTAACAGATTAAACATTAAAACTTTTGAACAGCTAAAAGATCTCATGCTAGTTGATCAAATAAAAAAGCGTACTTCTCCTGATTTCAAAGAACATTTTATGGATCAATGGACAACCATAATTTCACCTACTGAGGTGGTTAAGAAAATTGAAAATTTTGAAGATGTCAGAAAAACAATAAAACCAAAATTTTCTGCTAGTCAAACTGAGAGATTTAACAAAGGATCACTTAAACCTCATTCCGATAATTTTGCGAAAACAATAGAGCATCCACCTCATTTTAAGCATTCTGATAAATGGGATGATTCAAAATACCAGAAAGATCAACGACAAAAAAATCAATTTTAAAAACAAGAATCAAGAAAATTTATATGACAAAAGATATCGACCACGTTGTTTCGAGTGTGGGTCAT